GATGTGGTGTCAGAGGATTGAACGACTGCCAATGTAGTATGAGAGGCTTGAGCAGACTGAGAACTCCTTGTCAGCCCTACCTGGGAAGCAGATAATTTGGGGGAGATACCTCTACTTGGGGATGAGTGTGAAACAAGAAACCCAAAAGGGTCTTCATAGGAAAGCAATAAGCTAATTAGTTGGTGAGAAGCTGCTGCTGGAGAATGAGTCTAAACTACTTAAAACTAGAAAGGTATATTATTTATAAAGAATAAATAACTGCTTAGATTTCAGAGAAACACCAGCAAAAGGGAAGTAACATTGAATTAAGTCAAAGGAAAATAAAATTTTAAAGCTAACTGAAGGAAAATAAAGGTAATGTAAGTGAAGTGAGGTCACGAGTAAGATTTTATTTATTCTAAGGACAACATAGTTTTCTGAGTTGCAGTGTGGCAAGACAGCAAGTGGAGGGGACATCCTGTGGTATGTATGAAGTCATGGACATACCATGTGGTCAGACAAATGGCAGTGTCACTCACTACACAAAGCTGAGCTCCAGCTTTCAGAGTCCAGCAGTGGCTGGAGTCACCGCTGTGCCTCCAAAAGATAGAAGACCACATGGATAGCACAGACAGGAAGGTGATCATTCTACAGATTAGAAGCGTACAGGTAGAGAGAGAATGGGTAACTACCAGGCAGTCTAAGAAAACCAGGCAGCTAATGCAGGAGTCCTCTAAGTCTATTGTGCTTTCTAATCAATAAGTTAGTGAAAGTGATGGCTCCTCAGGGGAATGTAAATCTGTGGCATCATGAGAAATTCAGCTGTATGAGGTGGGGAGAATCATAGAATCCCTACAGTGTGGAAACAGGCCCTTTGATCCAACAAGTCCACACTGACCCTCAGAGCAGACTCACCTAATCTACACATCCCTGAACACTACAGCAATTTAACACAGCCAATCCACCTAACCTGCATATCTTTGGACTGTGAGAGGAAACCAGAGCACCCGGAGGAAACCCACATGGACACGGAGAGAACGTGTAACTCCATACAGTCGCCTGAGGGTGGAATCGAACCCAGGTCCCTGACACTGTGAGGCAGCAGTGCTAACCACTGAGCCACCAAACGGAAGAGCAATAGCAACTGGGATTTGGACAGGCATTTCTGCAAATTAATCGTGACTCTAGGATACTGTGTTGCCTCGCTGGTGCCAGGATCAAACATATCACAGAGCAGCTGCAGGACAGCTTTCTGAGGGAACAGGATCAGTCAGAAGTCAGTCTATCCTGGTATCACCAACATAGGTAGGGAGAAGGAGGAGGTACTGAAAGTAGATTTCAGAGTTGGAAAGGAATTTAAAATGTTGGACATCAAGAGCAGTAATCTCAGGATTACTCCCAGTGCCATGTGCTAGTAAGCATAAAACTGGGAGGATTGATCAATTGAATATGTGGCTGGAAAATTGGTGTAGGAGGGAGGGCATCAGATTTCTGAGGCACTGGGACCAGTTCTGGGGCACATAGGACTTGTACAGGTTACATCTTAACAGGATTGATACACTCACAGGATGATTTGCTCCAGTGGATGCAGTCATTGCTGTCGATCCTGGAGATAGAGGACCATGTGGGTAGTATGAGAGTTTGGCTTGTGCAGGTACTTCCCTGTTGCAGTGCAACTGCAATACTGGCTTTTAGCTCTGGAATTCCCTCTCTTTACTGCTTGTCTCTACTGTTTTCCCTCTTTAAGACACTTCGTAAAACCTGCTTCTTTGACCAAGAGTTCCCCAATCAGTTTTCTCAATAAAGCCTCGCTGAAGTACCTTGGACATTGTGTCATGTGAAAGTTGTTGTTGAAGAGTATTGATTCATCATGAGAGAGCAGGGATTGGTGACTGTCAGCAGGTTTCCTTGTCCATATTTGACCTGATGCCATGAGATTTCATGACGTCCAGAGTCAATGTTGAGAATTTCTAGAGCCAGTCCCTTCTTACTGTTGCCATCTCTTGTGGGTCTATGCTACAGAATAGGACAGGAGGAGTCTGGGATGTTAGCACAAAGAGATAATGCTAGGTATGACTCTATCAGGTAATTTGCTGCATGATGAATTCGTGGGACAGTTTTTCCCAACTTTGGTAGAAGTCCCCAGATTGATTTGAGAATTTTGTAGGGTGAACTGGGGTCGGGTAGACCTTTGTCTTTCCACACCTAGTTCAATATAAGGTGATACATCCATATTTCAACATGAGAGTTTGGTACAAGTGACTTGATACGACTTTTTGGCGAACACTTAAGAGTCAACCAAACATTTGGAATCACACATGGACCAGACAAAATAAGGACAGTGAGTTTATCTCCTTAAAGATTAGTGAGCCAGATAGACTTGTACAAGAAGCGGGTAGTTATGTGCCACCATTACAGATGCTCACTTTTAAATTCCAATTTATTTAATAAAAGGAACTTAAATTCCATTTTTGTCACACTAGTATCTGAATTCATTCCCTGGTTCATCATTCCAAACCTCTGGATTACTGATCCAGCAACATAACACTCTGCTACTTTAATTGAAATTTATAAACTAAACCAATGTTTAATAAAAGGTAGTAAATTGCTCATTTAATTATCAGTCCTGGGATATGAATCAGGCATTTTACTAAACACCTCTCATTTTCTTGGATGTAATGCTATTGAGGCATCTTCTTGAACAGCTACAGTCCACTTAGTGATGTTGCTTGCAGTACATTAGGTCAGGAGTTCCAAGGTTTTCATGTTGAAAATGAAGGAACAACGTATACTTGTCTATGTCAGAATTGTTTGCAACTTGGAGGGGAATGTTGAGGTGACAGTCTTTGTACATTATTTCACTGCCTTCCAAAGCTGAGGAAGAACTGATGAAAGCATGTGGTAAACCAGCCAACAAAAACATTCTAATAGAAGTATTCTTTGATCTTGGCATTGGGATACTGGGCAGATAAAGGCACTCTCTATTTCACCGAAAGCTTGCCATGAATTTGAAAATGTGAATCACGAGATTATTAAAAAGTAAAAATCCCAAAAAGTAACAGTTACAATAAATGCATTTTGCACTTCATCTACTTCAGGTCATTGAAATTTACAATGATTCAATGTTCGAAAACAAAATGCTTACAGATGTTCGAAAGTCCATAATGCAGAATAAAGGGAGATTGTGGTAGAAATATTTCCCTTACAACAAAAACCATGATCAGTCAGCCAGACTTGGCTCTTCATAATTCAGCATAGTTACATTTGATCTTACATTTTATTTTATTATGTCTCATTTTAATTTCATGAGTCTGGAAGTTTATTCAGGTAAAAGCAAAATACTGCAGATGCTGGCGATCTGAAATAAAAACAAAGTGCTGGAGAAACCCAGCAGGTCTAACAGCATCTGTGGTGAAAGAACTGATAGGACTCTTCTTTGGAACTGAAGCGGGCTGGAAAGTCATGGTTCTAATGCTGTTGACAAAGGGGCAGGAGGAGGAAGTGGAACAGCTGGTGAAGATGATTATTGCAAAAGACAAAGGGAATGCTAATGGTGGTAAAGGAAGAATGTAGACGCAAGTTACTTATAACTGTTAGTACAAAAGTTCTTAGTGCTGTAACCTCAGTTATCAAACCATAAATAAGAATGTCAAGTTTGGAGCAACTGCTGCTCAAGCCAGCATACTTTTACAATTTAAAGCTGCTCGATTCAATGCATCTACTAAATCATATGTTTCTTTTGCCACTATAATGCTCACTTCACTGTTCCTTATTTTCAAATTAGTGTATAATCTGAATTTTCAGCACAAAGCCTAACTTCAAACTGAACAAATCAATTAAAACATGGATTTGCAGGTAAGGGTCTTCACCAGCAGGCAAAACACCAATTTCCCCAAGCTGATTCTTTTTAAATGAGCATTTTATTAACTTTTATTAAACAAGTTTATAAACTTCAATTATGTTATCAAGGTGTTATGTTGCTGGATCAGTAATCCAGAGGTTTGGGAAGATGAACGAAGAAATGGGTTCAGTTACCAGATGGAATTTAAATTCAGTTAATTAAATAAATTGGAATTTTAAAAAACTTAACACCAGTAATACTGATGTATAACTACCAGCTTATTGTACAGAATCAGTAACAGACTTTTCACTGAAACAGTTTTTAATTTACGCTGATTTGAGAAACGTTGCCAAGACTTTTAAGTTTCAAACTAAAAGATGTGACAGTGAATCTAGGAAATGAGCCTCCATGAAGAGTTTGAACAATTTCAGTGGATACAGTGAAAAATTAGCTGCTGATTCTCTGAGCCCATTTTACACCCCTGTTGTACATTAGTTTCAATTCCCAGAATGTTTTTATTCCTATTCTTTTCATGGGATGGGGCTAACTGGCCAGTATCCTTGGACTGTGTGCCTTGCTCGCCCTTTTGAGAGCATAGTTAAGAATCAACTATCTTGCTGTGGGTCTGGAGTCACACATAGGCCAGACCAGATAGTCTTGGCAGATTTTCTTAAGGACAGTGATTTGCTTTTGTGACAATCAGTGATAGTTTCACGGTCACCATCACAGGCATTAACTTTCAATTCCAGATTGGTGGAATTTGAACCCATGCACCTCTGGATTACTGTTCGAGTGACCCTCACACTACACCAGCGTCTCCTCTTGCTTTACACAGCTGCTGGCTCACTTTTTAATAGTCTGCAAGGACAGCAAGCTCAGGCATCCTTCTGCAGTGTAGGGGTTTGATGATTCTATGATATATGATGATCTTCAAGAAATGAACTGTTGTTCAGTATTATGCGAGAAATAAGCTATTTTATACTTCTATGGTTTTTCATGACCTCAGTTCATCCTGAAGCATTTTCTAGACATTGAATTGCTTTTGAAGTGCAGTTCCAGTTGTAATGTAACTCCTCTGAATTCCTGTTTTTTGACTTGTACAACAGTCTGGGTTAATGACTCAGGACTAGCAGCTTTCAGCTTGAGTCAGCAGCTCTGACAGAAAAACTGCTTGCACACATTTTCAATTTTTCTAGGTACACCAGCATATTAGAAAAATATTTATTTCTGTTCCATCATTACGTGTGCTTTTTGGACAAGTGGTGCGGTGAAATTGTTTACAGGATTGCTGCTGTGCTAATAAAGGGAGGTGCCAAGACCAACTTTGGATCGTAGGCCTCAGCTCGAGCTGCCAAGGCCTGGGAGTTTCCTGAAAAAGCAGATGCCAGATCAGTAGATCCCATAGGTGGGCTCATGGCTGTCTCTATATCGATCCAGATACCGGAGTGGCTGACCATGAGGGTATTTCTTCTGAGGTGGATGGTAGACTGGAGGGAAGTCATATTCAAACACTGGCTCCTTCATATCTATGAAAAAACACAAGGAGATTCCTGTTACTAAATTACTTCAGTTTGATCATCTCTGTTCCTTCTTCAGAAAATGAACTTCCATACCTTTCATTTTCTCAGTTATTGGGCACATAGACAATGTCCAATCTCCATGTCATTGAACTCACCTTGAGATGGTTCCTTACACCCCTTACAGCATTCCCCTCCCGTTTCCACTTGATTTCCTTCTCTTTACACATCTATATTACTGGCAAACATATGCAAAATGCTATTGGAGATCTGAAATAAAATCAGAAACCCAGACAAGAAAGAAGAGGGGACAGGAAAAGAGGCCAATTGTAAAGGTGATATATACAGAAAGTTCTTTTTTCTTCATTCGTTCAGGGGATATGGGTGTCGCCAGTTAGGCAGCATTTATTGCCCATTCCTAATTGTCCAGAGGGCAGTTAAGAGTCAACCACATTGCTGTGGGTCTGGAGTCACATGCAGACAAGACCAAGTAAGGACAGCAGTTTCCTTCCCTAAAAGACATGTGAACCAGATGGGTTTTTACAATGTGAAGAGCTCCTTTTTTCCAATGTATTCCTTCTTGTACTGTAGGAGCCAGCACTCGTGAACATTCTAACAGTCAGTTCCAAGGAGTTGCTACATTTAACTGTTCTGGAACATTAGTTACATGTGATACTACACAGGAGGAAGCACAGGGCTTGTTAAGATTTTTAATCAGTCACTCAAAAGAGTTGGGATTGCTAAAGGTCTGGTCTGGGTTCACAGTTACTTGGAAAACACAGAATGAGACAGAGGCAGGCCCAGGCACAAGATAACTGATAAACTGTGCTGCTAAAGCAGGAACTACAGGTCACTAACTTTGTACAGTCAGATCTCAGGAATAAGTTCCAGGAGTCAGTTATTGTATAACTGTATAGTTGATGTTTAAAGAGGACTTAAGAACGGTTGTATAGCTAAAAACTCATGGATAGGGTCGAGGAACCGCTCAGTCCAGATATGTGTTGGAGCTAGGATTCAGGAAAGTTCTGGGTCCTGTAGGGGCTCAGAAGACGCAGTGTGTCATTAAAAGTTCAATGCAGCTGTGGGTAAGAGTGAAGGAAACCCACCAGCACTGCTTGCCAGGTGCAACTGAGCCTCATTAGAGCTCATGAAACAAATGCAGGGACAGTACTAGACTCATGAAACTAGGTGTCTGTGAAAAAAACTGAAGCAGTGTCTCAGCAAATGTTGCAATGCATTTACATGGGAGTGTAGGCCCAGGAAAGGCAAAAGTACTACCTGAACATGAGCAGTCATTGAGGTAGTCAAAGACAGAACAAGTCTTGAAGGAGTTTCAAAGCCAGGTCATCAAAAGTGAAGAATTCTAATTTGTTGTGAAGCTTTAATGATATTTGGTGACCCGCAGTAACACCTGCGGTGAGAATTACGAGAAATCAGTGGCATTTGTGTTGATTGCAATTGCAGTTTGATGTGATCTGTAGAATGTTCGATTATAGTTTGTCTGTTACCCATATTTGCCCCATCTTAAATTTCCAATATTAGATTATTTAAGATATCTATCCTTGTACAGTCTAAACCTTTTTTGTCATGCTTGTTTGATTCAGTTTTATTTGTAATAAACTCATTATTTTTGGTAGACAAAAGAAACCTGGCTGATTTGTTCCTATCATCAAACCAAATCCAGTCTAAATGATTTCACTGAATGGCAGAGTAGGCTCGAGAAGCTTCTGATGTATATGTTACAGTATCCTGTGAAGGGAATCTATAGTGATTCCCAGATTGGAGGGTTGGTGTGGACTTGATGGGCTGAATGGCTTGCTTCCATGCTGTAGGGATTCTATGAAATAAAATGTGTCCTATAAAGACTGCAGTGGGCACAACTGAACCGCAGCTTTGCTGCACATGTTACACAGGTAGCTGTCCTACACTTTTGAATATACTGGGTGTGTATTTTACAGCTTGTATCACCCACTCCAGCTAGATCTCCATTTGTTCTGCATCAGATAAGAATATACCAGGCAGAAGCTGAGCACAGGGAAGGGCGTGATCAAGGTGTTGAGAGTCTGCGTAGATTTTTATCATGCATTCCTGATTGACGTTTTAAAGCAGGCCATGTAAATAGTCTATTCTCAAGTAAAGCCAGCAAACTCAGATAGAAACTACATATGATGTAAAACGGAAAGTCAGCACAGATCCTCAGCGAGTAAGTACTTAAGAAGATAAAGAAACATATCATCTATGCTTAGGTGTTCAGCATTGTTCATATTTGTGGAGGACCATTTGTATCTAAGATGGCACCAGGAATAGCTACTTTGTACACTTTTCACTGAACTCCTGTATTCCTGTACTTGAGTACACGTGACAATTAAGCCTAATTCTAACAATTCTAATTCTATGTCAAGATATGGACAAGGCTTGCAGGACTTACCCAGCAGGTTGTGGAAGGTGTGCGTGACTGACTCATCCCAACGACACTGAAAGAAAGCCAGTCCAGCTGGAGTCAACAGATCCTCATGTTTCTTGTAGAAATCCAAAGTCTTAAAGGTTCGCATCTTCAAACTGTGACTGTAAAGAAGTATACACGGTAGTGCACATGGGTATACACAGACCAGTGTGATGCCAACTTACTCGGATACAAACACACCAGCTATCTCTGTGCGTTCACTGATGCACATACAGATCAAACATATTGATTAGTTACACATCCGACCACATTCTTGGAATTACACACACACAATGAGAGGCAAACAGGCAGATGTCTGCATGCAGAAAGGTATGTGCTCAGAAATATAAACACACACAAACAAAAGGTTAGGTTCACATACTCACATGGATGCAAAGGCACAAAGCTAGTCAGGTGCATGCACATGAACATTTATTAATACACAAGGTGTATCTCTGTTCAGTATTATGCACGGGTGCAAAAGAGGTAAGTACAGAAAATGCAATTATTTTAACCATGAAAAGCCTAATTGAGCAAAAGTTATCAATTCATCAGACAAGGTTTTAGCAAAAGTCAAAAGTAGTAGATATAACAGATTGACTATTGTGACATCATTGTTCATCGCAACTCAAACATTGGAGGTAGAACAGAGTTACAGGTCAATGCACTAGAATTTCTCTTACACAAGGGTATGTTACACTTGATTAGTAGGTGCTTATAGCTTCCTCTTACCAGGGCAAAGGTCTGAAGTCTTCTTTGAAGTCGATTACTTTATCCTGCTTAAAAAGAATGAAGATGCAGCGGTGATATCCTGTACCTTTGGCAGGGAAAGGGGGGAAATAGTGACAGACGTCCTCTCCCTCTGATACAGCATTCCCAGGTATATTACCGCTGTACAAGAAAACAATGAAATAAACTGCAATTCAATTTGATATATTAGCCATATCCACCATTTGTAGAATACAACTAATTCAGTGTGACATAAAGTGCTTAAAATTAATTCAATATTAAGCAAGTTCCACACAAAAGAACACTACTTCCCTGTGATGTGAAGGAGAGTTAAGGGGACGTCTGGAAAGGGGTTTAAAAATGACAATTTTCAGGAGATATTTGTTAGGGAAGTGATGACAGAGTGAAGGGAAGCATTGAGTGGAAAATTCAGGGATCAGCATCAGGACCCCTGCTGTTTTTCACTTTTGACTAATGATACCTAGAGCTGGTTACTCCAAATTTCATAATCCCTGACCAAGAAAATAACTTGGAGAGTACCAAACTCAATACTCACACCAGCCAGTGGACATACTCCGATTCATTGTCTCTCAGATGTCCATCTGAAACATGAAAGAAAACATTACACAAAGCTTTAGCCAATTATCAGATTTCCACTCAAAACCCAGACTAAATAGTTGGGAGATTTTAGAACAGAACAATACAGCACAGTACAGCACACACGATGTTGTGCCGAACTTTTACCCTAAACCTAAAGTTTATCTATCCTCCATCCCTACCTTATACTATCATCATATGCCTATCTGATAGCCACTTAAATGCCCCTAATAAGGCCAACTCCACTACCCTCTCCGGCAATGCATTCCACACCCCTACCACTCTCAGAGTAAAGAAGCTACTTCTGACGTCTCCCCTATATCTACCTCCACTCACTTTAAAACTGTACCCCCTCGTAATAGCTACCTCCACCAAAGGAAAAAGTCTCTGGCTGTCCACTCTATCTATACCTCTGATCATTTTGTACACCTCTATCAAGTCACCTCTCATCCTTCATCATTCTAAAAAGAAAAGCCCTAGCTCTCTCAACCTTTCCTCCATTCCAGGCAACATCCTGGTAAATCTCCTCTGCACCTTTTCCAATGCTTCCACATCTTTCCTGTAATGAGGTGACCAGAACTGGACACAATACTCCAGATGTGGCCGAACCCGGCTTTTGTATAGCTGCAGCATAACTTCATGGCTCTTGAACTCAATCCCTCTATCAATGAAAGCTAACACACCATATGCCTTCTCAACAACTCTATCCACCTGGGTGGCAGCTTTCAGGGAACTGTGGACATGAACCCCAAAATCCCTCTGCTCCTCCACACTGCCAAGAATCTTTCCATTCACCCTGTATTCTGCTTTCAAGTTTGTCCTTCCAAAATGAATCACTTCACAGTTTTCAGTTCTGCCACTTCCATCTGCCACTTCTCAGCCCAGCTCTGCATCCTATCAATGTCACTTTGTAACCTAGAACAGCCCTCCCCACGATCCACAACTCGACCCATCTTCGTATCGTCCGCGAACTTACTAATCCACCCTTCCACTCCTACATCCAAATCATTTACAAAATTCACAAATAGAAGAGGACGCAGAACAGATCCTTGTGGTACACCACTCGTAACTGAGCACCATGTTGAATATTTTCCATCCACTACCACCCTTTGTCTTCTAAGGGTCAGCCAATTCTGAATACAATCTGCCACATTTCCCCCTATCCCATGCCTCCTTACTTTCTGCATAAGCCTACCATGGGGAACCTTATCAAACGCCTTTCTTAAATCCATGTATACCACATCACTGCTCTACCTTCATCCACGTGTTTGGTCACCTCTTCAAAGAATTCAATAAGGTTTGTCAAGCATGATCTACCCCTCACAAATCCATGCTGACTATCACGAATCAAACCGTGCCTATCCAAGTGATCATAAATCCTATCTCTCAGAGCCCTTTCCAATAATTTGCCCACCACTGAAGTAAGACTAACTGGCCTGTAATTTCAGGGGTTATCCCTATTCCCTTTTTTGAACAAGGGAATGACTCTTGCCACTCTCCAATCTTCTGGCACTACACCCGTGGACAGTGAGGACGAAAAGATCATCGCCAAAGGCCCTGCAATCTCTTCCCTCGCTTCCCATAGAATCCTTGGATAAATCCCATCAGGCCTGGGGGGCTTATCTATCTTCAAGTTCCTCAAAATTCCTAGTACATCTTCCTTACTAACATCGACCTCCTCTAGCCTACCAGCCTGTTTCACACTGTCCTCCCCTACAACTAGGTCCCCCTCAGTTGCGAATACCGAAGAAAAGCATTCATTAAGGACCTCTCTTATCTGTTTAGGCTCCGTGCACAAATTCCCTTTACAATCCTTGATAGGCCCTACCCTTTTTCTGGTCATTCTCTTATTCCTCACGTACGTGTAAAAAGCCTCGGAGTTTTCCTTGATCCTATCATGCCCCCTTATAGCTCTCCTAAGCCCTTTCTTCAGCTCCTTCCTGGCTAACTTGTATCCCTCTAGAGCCTTTTCTGATCCTTGTTTCCTAAACCTTACATAAGCATCCTTCTTCCTCTTAACTAGTCGTTCGACCTGTCTAGAGAACCAAGGCTCCCTTACTCGACCACATCTTCTCCGCCTGCTAGGGACAAACATATCGATCACACGCAGTATGCATTCCTTAAACAATCTCCACATTTCTGTAGTGCTCTTGCCTGACAGCATCTGTTCCCATTTTATGTTATCCAGTTCTTGCCTAACAGAATTATAATTACCCTTCCCCCAGTCATAAACCTTACCCTGCTGTATGTACCTATCCTTTTCCATGACTATTGTTGTTATTTTAGCCACCAAAAACATCTTTCCTTGTCCTTTAGAGCATGGATGTCTGAAGTAAAGCTATAAGTGCCAGGTCATCCTTGGGCCCCAGATATATTTTTATTTCAACTTTGGTTTTGTACTTACTGTTAGACTTCAGTGGACTTGTAGTTTACAAAATGCCACTAGAGATTGAATCAACAATTCAGTTCACACATCATGACAATGCTTCCTGGAGTTACAAAATTAAGGCAGTGACTCCCCCAAGCCATTGGAATTTGAAACTCCACTCCTGGTTTGCATTGTTGCTTTAGATAACAATTAAACATTATGGTAACTTAGTGATTTTTTCATGCTTTGTTGAGGACTCTGGACGAATTCCAAACAATTTTTTAAAAATATCATTTTGTGATTCCAAACAAAAGTTAATTCAGGAGAGAGAATTATGATTTTTATAATCTAGGCATTTTAGCATTTGATTGTATAATATTCATACACAGAAGCCAATCAGGGTATAATTCTGGGGTACAGTACTGGAGGGACAAGTCTGTCACAGTATAATGCTGGGATACTGCATGGGTCACTATCACACTTGGGTATAGTACTGATGCAGACATGTCTGTCGCTGTGTAACACTGGGGTATAGTGGGGGTATGGTGCTGGTGAAGACAAGTCTCTCGCTGTGTAACACTGGG